GTCTTTGGACTGAACGCGACTGTTGTGGTGGCACTGACAGCCGGACACAGAAAAACACAGAAAAATGACACCGGTGACGGCGGAACAAGTCGAGAGAGCAGAGAGAGAGGTCATGAGATACGCAACAAAGGGGATCCACTACTACAACGACGAGGAGCTGTTTTTGTTGCGCCAAAGAGCGCCGGCGTACTTCGACACAAGGGTTGACGTTCAGCGGTCAGTGGCAGCAAATGGAGATAGGTCAATGAGAGCACAACAGTTGCTGCTGCGCTTACATCAACATGCCGACGTGCATGACGACCACATCATGGCATCTTGGTGTGCGAACACTCTTCACGAAGTTGTGGATTGGATGTGCAACGACAGAGACATCGACATGACAAAAAGAGAGGGAGGAGGTTCGTACGACACAGCAGCGTTCAAGAAGTTTGTGAGATCTCGGGCGAGGGAAAATCAAATGTTGAAGACAGGGGGTGGTGATGAATTGAAGCCGGATGCAGCAGAGATATTGGCACTGAGCAGGATGAACGAGGGGCCTCGAAGAGATCCTATTGACTACCATGAACTGGCGATAATGGTGGTGGACGGTGTCGAGTACGTGCTACTCGACCAGATTGTCGACTTTATGAAGAGTGGAGACGAGGACAGAAATCTGATTCACGAGGCATTGTATGAGGTGACGGAGAACGCAATAGCAGCAGTGGAGGTTGTCGATGTTGAGTGCGTAAAAGATCGCTCACTCGACCTTGTATCGGGAGATCCTGTGCCCCGATGGAACATATTCGAAGTTGTAGAGGAGCTGATCGCGGCATTGACGGCCGTGGACAAGAGGAGGAAGAGAAAACAAGGATGGGAAATCGTTCTCGCAGAACACAATACCGCAAGGACACACACAAGAGACACGACGGTGCAGGACAGAGGTGACGCAGTATCTCTGCCGGATGCCAGGACCGTGTTGAAGAATCCTGTCGCAGATGCCGGGACTGTCCATGGCGGATTCAGGGAGTGGAGATTGCCACCCAGACATCGTTCAGGTGACTTCAACGAAGGAGGCAAACAAGCATCTTGGCAGGGAGATGATGCGGTGGTTGGTTGTGACAACAAGGGCGATGCACAGACAGGACCTCAACAAGAGAACCGGACTTTATGGGGCTTGGGAGTGAGTGGCAGTGATACCAGCAGTGACGAGGAGGGCAAGGAATACGACCCTTATTGGGACGTAAAGCGAGGTGGTGGTCAAGCCTCGAAAGGGTGGTGCCATGCAATTTTGAGGTTGGGGCGTGTTTTCTCGAAACCGCACCCGTTGATACGTGTTGTGGACAAGGTGGCAACACCGTACGGGCGTCTACAGTACGCTGCTATCAAGACAATTATGTCGTGCATCGAAACCGGCAAACGTTGGACTCGCACTGGAAAATCATGGTTTGTTCTCATACACAAGGAGGCCATTCTGACGACATCGATGTCATGGGGTGTGAATCTGAGTTGCGTCATGCATGGAGTCGTTGCTACTGCATGAGGTGGAACCGTGCACCCCACAATGTCAACAGCGGCTGCAATTCTATATGCACAACCAACACTCCTTTTGCGTGCCACGGAAGACAACAACATCGATGTTGCCATAGACATGGGCCAAACATCAGAGGAACAATCGAAACGGAGAAAATTATAGAGCTCTCTCTCTCTCTCTCTCTCTCTCTCTCTCTCTCTCTCTCTCTCTCTCTCTCTCTCTCTCTCTCTCTCTCTCTCACAGACACACACACACACGCACACACACACACACACACAAACACAGATTACATATTCTTATTACCGTATCACATGTCCATTGCTTGTGACGATGCGGTTGGGAAGTTGGGGCCGTATATGAAGACGTTGTTGCCGTCTTACAACATAAGTGGCACCCACTTCCCAACCGTGCCATAAACTGGGATTTTCCTTACGCTGCAGTGTTAATATTGTGTGGTGTTTATGCATACCTGCCTTCCACGATCATTCCTGAAGATGTGTTTGGGAAGTGAAGACGATTTATGGGCACGTTGTTGTCGTGTCTCGCCGTAAGTGATTTGGTTCATAAGCTCTCTCTTTCTCTCTCTCTCTCTCTCTCTCTCTCTCTCTCTCTCTCTCTCTCTCTCTCTCTCTACACACACACACACACACAGATTAGATATTCCTATTATCTTTTCAATTGTGCATTGCTTGTGACCATGTGGTCGGGAAGTTGGGGCCGAATATGAAGACGTCGTTGCCGTCTTATGACATAAGTGGCACCCACTTTCCAACCTTGTTGAAAAGCGGGGTTTTCCATATACTGCATTGTTAATATTGCAAGGTGTTTACATACCTGCCTTCCACGTTCAGGTGTAAGCAATGTGTTTGGGATGTGACAATGTTTTATGGCGACGTTGTTGTCGTACACAGCCGTAAGTGACTCAGTTCAGTTTCAACCTCTTTGTGTCATTTTACAAAGACACAGTCATCTCTCTCTCTCTCTTTCTCTCTCTCTCTCTCTCTCTCTCTCTCTCTCTCTCTCTCTCTCTCTCTCTCTCTCTCTCTCATGAGTGTTGGTGCGATCAAATGACTGCGATGATCTTTCTACAATGACCACAGGGCAAAACCCTGCCGTAGGGGGTTGTGGGTCGTTAGCAGGTGGAAAAAATAAAAATGGAAATGAACATCACGAAAGGTAGTGGTATGTATGGAAAAGCGGGATTCCACTTATCGGTGCGCAGTATGTTTGGAACACTGAATGTGTCTTTTTATTGTTGTGTTTGTGGTAGCGAGGCAGGATAATTCCGAACGTCGTGGAAGGGCCAAGTAGTAAGTCCATTGTGCGTGCAAAACGTTTGGCACTCTAGGTGTGAGGGAATTTCATATCATGTGTGAGAGAGTGCAGATGACGGACGAGCGCATGGTGTGTGAATGCGGTCGAGCTTTCACGTCATTAAGGACAATAAACTCTCATCGCGCGAGGGCCTGTCCGTCCTCAACGAGTCGTAGATCAAACGATGACGATGGACATAGTGGGGAGAAGAGATCCGCGGGGGAGGACGGCGCGCCGGATGGCGGTGGCCTGGGGGAGACATCGTCGACCTCGCTGTGGATGCGGAAATGGAATGCGGTTCCGATGAAGACCCACCTGACGGGCGGTCGTTCGACACATCCCGCAGACTTGCTGCAATCATGTTGTCCTCTAGGGGTGGCTTAGGGATGTCGCTCAACGACATCGACGCTCTTCTGTCACTACTGAGAGATCCAAGATTCTCGCCCCAGGAAATCGTGTACCGCAACAGCCGTGACTTCTTGCGTTGGACGAGCAGGCAGGCGGAGACGAACGGGTGGCGGGAGATAGATCTCAGAAGTGATGACTGGCCATCAGATGCACATGCCGTCCTGTGGTACCGAGATTGGCATACGACTTTCACGTCACTGCTCAAAGCAGCGGCGAAAAAGATGGAAACAGTGTCGTGTCTCTCAACCCCCCCGCCGGAGGCAGAACCCACAATAGACAACGCTCGCTCAAGTGAGTTGTGGCATCACGTACAGACCGTCATCAGAGCGCACAAAGGTGTAGATAAGAATGGCAGAACACGGTATGTGATGCCAATCTGTCTGTATTCTGACCAAACACATCTAGATGGACGGCAGAAACAGACGGCATATCCATTAATGATGTAAATAGGTGACCATGCACATGACTTGACACTTCTTGTGTATCTTTCTGTCCTCCATCAACGTCTAGGAGACAAGGGATGGGGTTTGCAAAGCACCGCGTTCAGGCAACGCAAAGCCATCATATTGCACTCAGCACTGTCTGTGGTGTTGCCGGCTGCGAAGCATGCGTCGCATGATGGCATTGTTTATGATGATGAGCGGTGGGGAGAGGTAACAGTGCACCCTTTCCTGCTGAATTATATTCAAGATTACAGTGCACCCTTTCCTGCTGAATTATATTCAAGATTACAGTGCACCCTTTCCTGCTGAATTATATTCAAGACTACCCTGAGAGGTGCGTCGTCGCAACGGTGAAATACGGTGTCGTGCACAGTGTCAAAATCTTATTTTGATGCCATTGCGAACTTCAATAACTGTTGTCGATCACAAAGTATAGAACGTGCACTTCTAACACAATTCCATTCGACAGACAACGATGATATTCGTCGCATGACGAAGACACAATTGTCAAACTTGAATATGCACATGCATGTGAAAGAGAACGGGCTATGGGGATTTTATAGGGGTCCTGGAGACGATGATCCTATGTTCGACTACCACCTAGCTCTGCAACCGGACCGCATGCACACCATCGAGCACGACATATTTTTGCACATGTTAGACGCTTTCAGAGCAGCTGCCTTTGACAAGTTGAGCCATGTCCCACAAAGCCATGTGTTCAAGGAATTGGATGCGAGGTTGCAGACATTGAGCGAGAGAAGCAGTACTACATTTCCGCAACTTGTGCTACCTGTTGCAACAGGTAGCGACTACTTTTCACGGGAGGGGCGTTTCGAAGCTAAGCAGAACCGGTCAGTTATGACAGTGTGCGTATTCATAGTGTCCAACGTTATCCCTGGGTCGGTAGGAAAACGAATAACATCTTGTTTCAAGAAACTAATGGAACTGTACATCTCAATGTTCCGGTGCACAAAGCATTCAAGTCATTCGCTTGACGCAAGTGACAATCTTATGACGGACTTCATAACAACCCTCAAACAGGTACTGGATTATTATCAAACCTCCAACTGGAAACTGCCGAACTTACACAACCTTCTGCATTTGAGGGCGTGCATTGAACGTTCAGGTCTCCCAGACAGCTTCGCGGCCGATGTGTGGGAGCACCACCACCAGAAGTTTTGCAAACAGCCTTTCATGTCGTCGAACAAGCGCAAAGCTGCGTTCCAAATGGTAAATCATGTGCGACTGGCTGTCACATTCGACGACGACATTGAACGTGCACGGAAACAAAGGAAGAGGACAATTGAGAATCGGTCGTCCGTCATGGAGTGCTCGGCAAGCGGAATGAATACACTTGCCGCACGCGATACGGCGAAGTTGCATCTCCGATTTTTCCCCCGCGGAAATGCGGGATTAAATGGGAACGAAGGTGCAACAGGAACCGCCAATGTGATATTGGATGCCCTCCCGTGCAAGGAGTTCTTTCGAGAGGCGCTTCACACGTACATGTCGAAAAACGGGTGTAATCCACCGCATGCGGACAAGTTAATACGCACGAGAACACATCTTGCCATCGCAGCAACAGTCGATGAAACAACCAGGGGAGCACTTGTGCAAACTGCGAGGGCTTCACCCAACTTCCGCGGGAAAGCGGTGCACAGTGATGTTGCTGTGAGGTCACAGACAGGAAGTATATGGTATGCATCTGTGGCAATGTTTTTTGTCATGAACACCTGTACGGAAGAAGCGTCCACCACACATGAGTGCGCCTTTGTAAAATGGTACAAAGAGGCTGACACTGAAAGAGCAGATGTGACAGGGTGCAAAAAATGAAATGGGTAATGGTAAATAGTCGCCAGCTGTGCAGCGTCATCTCCGTTGACAACATCACCAACACTGTCCACGTTGTTCCATGTTTCGCAAAACTGCAGTGGGATTCAGCAACATATAGAAGACAACGTGAGGACACTTTTTACTTGAACAGATTTGTATTGTGATATGTGACATGCAACACTGAACGGTGACTACGTGGTCTGGTTGGGTAGTACGTGCCAATTAAAGCAACACCGCTCACGGACGACATCTTTATGGCCCCCACCACCCATCTCTCTCTCTCTCTCTCTCCAAGCCCTATTATCGCGTGACCAAGGAACGACTACCAAAACTGACGCAAAAAAAACTCGTGAAAATGTGATGGTTTGCTCATAGGTAGAATGTCACACATTACGAGGAACAGTACTGAACGCTCAGCACTGGCATCAAACATAACGACGAGGAGAGGGAAACGATCAAGAACAACACGAATGCGGACAACTGAAGACAAAAGCCACGCACATGAGAGAGTGGCCGAGGTCACGATCGATAGTAATCAAGAGACAACGATATCGAGGAAGCAGGAGCATGTTGAGCACAGCAAAGTGGAAACGCAAGAGCTCGACAAGGGAGCGACGCACACCGAGAAGAGGCCACAAGCCACAACAAGAGAAGGCGAAGAAGCCACAGAGAGGACGGCGTCAAACTGCAGAACAATGACAATGGAGGCTATGTTGGAGAGATGGGAGCACCTGTCACGGAAGGACAGGTGGTACAACAGAATGTACTTGGCAGCRACAAGGGGAACAATCCGGTCAGCGGATCTCGGACGTTCAGAGTCACGCGGGAAGACGACACACGGAAAGAAGGGCGATAACGCATCAAGCTCGTCGAACGGGTTCGATGTTGTTGACGAGACAAACATATATCCATTCACGTGGAAAGGCAGAAGGGAGGAGATCCAACTGGCGGAGGCAGATGTGATGTGCTTGGCCGTTGGGAAGTGACTCAATGGCAATGTAATGGACATATATTTGTTGTTCGTATACGAAGAGCGATTGGAAGGTAACTCAACCGCAGCAGTGCATGTGTGCACAACTTTTTGGCATCCGGAGGTGCTCGCGAATCAGAAAGTCGCAGCGGTGAAAAGGGGATGGGAGTTGCATGTGAAGAGTCGGACGACCAAAATTGTTCGACTGTGTAAAGACCTGGAGGTCGAATCAGTCATGCTTATTCCAATTAACCACAACCACCATTGGATGTTGCTCATAATCTTGAATGTAAGGGAGTTTTGGACCGACGGCACATGCCCTGACGCCATAATCGTCGACTCGGATCACGGGTACCCGACTCCAGACTGGAGGGCGTTGCGGACATTAATGTGGCACGAGTACATGAACGACAAAAGAAGGGGTCCGGATGTCACACGCCAACTGGTGGACAAGTCGTGGAACACTTGCAGAGATGTGTTTGGTCGTGGACTGATCCATGCGAGGTCTTCACAACAAAGTAACAGAGAGGATTGTGGTGTTAATATATGTTGCATGGCAGAAGAGTTGATAACAAAGTTGGCACATTGATCAACCGAGAATGGCATCTCGAAAGACAACATACTGGAGATTGTAGAGAACATGCGCATCGATGGAAGAACCGCTCGAGACTTCCGTGTTAGAGCTATCGATCGCATTGCAGAGTGTGCAGCAGCAGCGAAAGGTCACACGAGTCTCGGAGCATGTTGGACGATAGCTCGTGTCATGAGAGCGAACATAAAAAAAGACGGTGGCGAACTACCTTAGACAAGTACGACAGGCCATGTCGGGTGGGACCATCGGGGGGGGGGGGGGGGGGGGGGGGGGGGGGGGGGGGGGGGGGGGGGGGGGGGCTGGGATCGGCGGTGTTGTGAGGGGGGTTACTGGTTAAGGTGATTTTTCTGACAACACACCCTGGATATACATGCAAGCGAGTGCAAAACCGTTTCATTCATATCCATCGTCGATTGTGTGTCGTGGGTGATCTGCCAACTGAGGGTGCACCAAAGAATTTTATGTTTAACCTTTATTGAAGTTAGAGAGAGAGAAGAATGCGGGAGGGAGAGAGAGAGAGAGAGAGAGAGAGAGAGAGAGAGAGAGAGAGAGAGAGAGAGAGAGAGAGAAAGAAGCGGAGGACGACTGTAGTTGTATATTAATAGGAAGTTGGCGAAGAAGAATGAAGTCGGCGACAAATTTTTGTTTGATTTTTTGCATGAACGTGATACCTTATCCTGTCAACATATAATATGAGAAACATCTCTCTCTCTCTCTCTCTCTCTCTCTCTCTCTCTCTCTCTCTCTCNCTCTCTCTCTCTCTCTCTCTCTCTCTCTCTCTCTCTCTCTCTCTCTCTCTCTCTCTCTCTCTCTCTCTCTCTCTCTCTCTCTCTCTCTCCCTTCTACAATGTTCGGGCTGATTAGCATTGAAAAGTTGTCTATACACGTACGAGTGTTTGAGTAAAAAGCTCATAAGTGGAATGTTCTGTGTGTCATGTAGCTTTGCAATGGTACCCCGCCGCAGGTACGAAGATCTTGCTTCGTCCTTAAAGCAAGTACAGGAAACACAGCCACTAGCAGGGCTGAGCGAAAAGACTGCGGTCAGAAATAAGAAGGGGAAATTCCAGAGACGGCCCCCGGAGAAAAGCAAGACATCACCTTTGATAAAGCCCCGCGCGGACAGTGCTGCGGTCAGGAGGCCGCCGAAAGCGAAAACGTCTGAAGCCAATAAACGACAACGAGAGCCGGCCCCTGCCTCGCCGACATCCATGAAGAATCGCAAGCGAAAGGACCGATCCCCGCCACGGGCGCCGAATAATAGGTCATGCGCAGAAAGGGTGGAAGGACAACCTCGGCACAACAACGCAAATACGAAGAGGAGGAGAATCATTGAGGGGGTGGAGGAAGAGAAGGAGACAATTGATCTAAGGGGTTCCGATGGTGTCACTGCAACCGACACCGAAAAACGAGATGTGTCTCGGGACACAGCACGGAAGACACAAAGGTCCTACCCGTATGATGAAACAGAGGACAGTAGAGGACGTAATGTGGGGACATGCGACGAAGGTGAATCATACGAGGAAGATGCAAGCAACGAAGAGGAGGACAGCGACAACGGGTCCAACAACACTGAGTACACCGACGACGAGGACGAAGAGGAGGAAGACCCATCTCGGAGCAGCAGCAGGGAAGAAAGGTCTAGCAAAGACAATACACAGAACACGTCTCGAAAAACGCAAGGCGGAACAAGCGACGGACGCAGAGAGGATAGCAACGTCGACAAGCAGTAAGTTCTAAAGGAGAAGGCAATCGAAGGACGTAAGTACGCAATGTGTGAGAAAAAAAAAAAAAATCATGCTTGTTTTGGCCAGTCGACATGTTGTTTCACTCAGACTCTTGTCATTGCGCGCTGGCAGTGCAAAATGGCAGCAAACTGTATACATTGTTCGATGAGAAAATTTTATGTAGGTTGCAAATAAGTAAGGGTGGTTGCGGTTGTTTCTCTTGTCAAGCCAATGTACGAATCTGGTGGATACCAACTTCGAACTTGTGGGTGTTGGCGCGCGTTGTTGCAGACCGGCACATAATACAAGGAGGGAGACGGCACCCGGCGGACGCGAAAGAGGCTGAGCCTTCGGCGGTTGGAGAGGGAGACGAATTCGACTTATTCGGCAAAAAGAAAAAAGACAGACTGCTGAGGTCTGTTGCAAAAGCTTTTGTGCACTCAAAAGCGACGGACGCAACATTCTACCCTTCGGAGGACGACTTCTTCAATGTGTTGTAGTTGGCTGCTACCCTTTTGGGAGAAGAGGTGAGGGTAGGATGGGGGAAGTATGTAGAGAAGAAAGGTTTGCGGAGTGTGCTTATAGAGTGCAACCGAATGATGACAACGGTCCTTGGAGAGTTGACTTGGCACCTAAGACACTCGTTTTGGGCAGAGAGAGGTGTCTCCCTCGTACGTGGCGCGCAGTCGGATCACAATAACACCGTGCGAAACGAACTACGTAGCCAGATGAACAAAGACAAAACATGGAGGAGGAAGGGCGACGAGCCATGGGGAGCGGAGCATTTCAAGAGGGCGCTCACAAAAGTGTTCCAAATAAGAAAAAACGGTGGGAAGCTCAGCGTGACGTTGCAGCAACTAGCGTTTACCGAACTTGTGACCCGCACAGAAATAGAGCAGACAAAGAAGTCAAGCAAGGTGTCGGATCAATTGACCCTTATGACCAGTATAAAGAATGACATAGTGAATACAGCCCGGAGTCGGGACACAGTTATGAGTTTCTGCATTTTCAAGCTCGACCACGACACACGCATGGCAGATGTGGCGACTCGCTACTACACAGCAGGGAACACAAGGAGAGACATGCGTGCGGTGGTGAACAACAGCAACAACGTAGAGGACCATGAATTCGAAGTGCTAGTCCCACAGACACAATCGCGAGCTTCGTGCTGAGGAACTTGGAAACATGTCCCGGAGTGACACTCCTGTTCTTCTGACGGATGAGACAAGAGTCAAGATGTGGTGGTATTGCGTGTCTGCAACTCCTACGACAACAAGACGTGGAGATGAAGAGAGAGATAGAGATAGAGATAGAAAGAGAGAGAGAGAAAGAGAGAGAGAGAGAGACAGAGAGTTTTGAAGTGTGGAGCCAATGCTTTTATCACGGGTGTCATGCGATGAAACCGAGTTACTGTGGCAGGGGTAGGCAGCGTTGCGTGGTGGGTGACACTTGTTATGACTGCGGTGCCTTAATGTCATTATGTGGCCCCCTCTGCAAGACATTGACACTGGAAGTGCACCACATTTGAGAGGGGGAAACAAAGCGAGAGTCTCTCTAGAGAGAGAGAGAGAGAGAGAGAGAGAGAGAGAAAGAGAGAGAGATGACACATGAAGTGCCCTGCAGTTGACAACGGGAAACAAAGCGAGACTTTCTAGAGAGAGAGAGAGAGAGAGAGAGCCAAGACAAATTTAAGTTAACATATAGCGTTGTCAACTGTAGAGAAAAGAAGTTTGTGTCAATGGGATAACAAGGTTGGGAAGTGGGTGCCAATTATTATGACTGCGATGCATTGAGGTGATTAGATGGCCCCTAGTACGGAACCATATGACTGCAAGGGCCCAATTGTCACATTTAGGATAACAGA